TGTTTAAAAGGTAACTGTAAAGGCATTGAAATTATTCGTATTGATAATGAAGTATCTAATATACAAGAAATTGCAAACGTCAAACTTCGTCCTTTTAAAGGGACCTTCAAGATTCATCAGGTTGCATGGAGTGCAAAAGCACCTAACATTATACGTCAGACGATTGAGCTGCTTATTATGTGCAGCCCATATTGAATGTACCCATTTTGAAATTGGACAAATAGAGGTTGAGGGCATTTCGTGTAATTTTATAGAAACACAACTTCTACAGAATTTTACATCTTCTTCAACCCTCAGTCCAGCAACCACTAATAACACTACATCAGCCTCTACAGCCACTGGACCGACAACCCCAACTCTGCTTGAACCCTTGTTTAATACACCATCATTGGAATCATCATCAAGCCCAACCCGTCAACCATTAACCCCACAAAAGCCAAATTTAATTAATACAGACTCTGATGACTCAGTAACTCCTAATAAATTCAGGTTCTGTCCAACCCTTGATGTAAGTGACTTGGAAAACTCAATTACACCACCAAAAGTAACACCCAAAAAATCCAGAGTCCGTGCATTCCCAGAATACAGTGACTCTGACGACTCAAATGCACCACAAAAGAAATGTAAAGGTCGTTCATTTTTTGATTCGAGTGATGATGATATCTTTTAAAATCCTTTTTTTACTTTGTATTGTTTATTATTAATAACTTTTTAAGACTAACGTAACGATTGTTTTTGTTTTTTTTGTTTTTGTTCGATTCTGTGGAAGTATGTCCCTTCAGTGGTCACAAAAAAAATTAAAAGTTTAATATTTCAGTCAAAACTGAAAAACGATCTTGTTTTATATTTTCATTAAAATGCTATGATTATAAGGTAATAAATAAGACTGATTTCGTAAAAGTTCTGACTATGTTTTTTTTTCACAAAATTCTGACTCGTTTTGTGTATGACCCATATAAGCCGAAGGTTCGTCATTACATTCGATTACATATTACATTTTGTTTCAAAATGGTTCCTTTTCTTCCTTGTACACCAAATCTTAGCATTTAAAGGAGTGGCGGAAAGTTTGTTGCCAGTTCATCTGGCTCTTGATTTAGGAACTGCTAATAAATGTAAATTTAGATCTTCTTTGTAATAATAACCAATATGATTAAATAAATTTTGTTTTGATTTTTAGGTTTAATAGTCCACGGCCCGCTTCACAACACATTTTCGTTTACGAACTAGCGATCTGTGAAATCGACTCCCGGTGAGGGTCTTCCCTGGGAGATACTAACTCCCGTTGAAAAAAAAAGGGTGCGTGTACTTATGTACGCGCGTAAGAAGTTATACTTCTTTGGCATTATTAAAAATAGTTTTTGATTCTTCCCATGTCAATCTTTTCTTAAAGACTTTCAGAAGACTCAGGTGATCAGTCTTCTCTATCTGAGCCACGCCGTTAATTTTCACGATGTTTACCTTCCCTGAAGCACGCATATTACGCACGCTAAAAACATTGACCGAGAATTTATGTACAATCATATTTTAAACTGACATTGAAATTATGCATTTAAAATTCAAAACGCCAGATACGTTATTACTTTCGTCGCGAACATACATATAGAATATAGAAACCTTCATAGGCGGTTAAAAACTATAACCCTTGACCTCTCTTGTTGATTAATAGTATGAGATTAACACGAAGTTTATTAGATGAAATCTAGACTACAAAATAATAAAAATGCTTTGTGTGTGAGCAGTGTTGACCTAGTAATTTCAACATGCGACTCATTCCAGGGGTCTTAGGTTTGATCCCCGGCTGTGCACCATTGGACTTTCTATGTGCGCATTTAACACTGGCTCGTACGGTGAAGTAAATAGAAGTAAAACATCGTGAGAAAACCGGCATTCCTTAGACCAAAAAAGTCAACGGTTAGACACAAAAAGTGAATAACCTATTTGCCTATTAGAAATGATCACAAATATAAAAAAGGTTGTAGCGCCATTGGTATTGGTATAAATTTAAAAATCGCGATACCTAAATGTATCTAATGTATTCAATTTGACGGGCTTTAAGGCAGTAAACAAAATGATCGATATCATGTCTAGACAATTGCGGGTACGCTATTGTTTATTTAGGTCCCTTGGTACTTAATGTAAAGAAGGATTAAAATTAGCTTTTATTTGTGCCCCCCTTACAAAACTAATTTACACTATTTACAAAAACACAATTTGCCAGATCGAGATGATATTGTCCTATCTTTCCCTAAATGCATCTGTCATCCTAATGCATAATTTGTCTTGATGGCAATGGTACCTTAATTGAGGGCATTAGAGTCAGATCACACGTTTCCCCATTCGCCCAATAGTCTATGAGAGTTTAAAATAGACCGCCGTTATTGTCACACACATTTGTACACTCAGATTTAGATCTGTGATTCAATATGTTCCTTGATGTAATTTGTTTTCTAAGTGACGACGTGATATTTCTTTTCTGTAAATTATTATCGCGTTAGTGACAACTTTTACTTTGTGGTTATAATGTTCTTTTAACGTATCCAATATATTTTCGAGTCACACTTTGCACTGTCTCGATTTTGAACGTCCCTATGTCGTCAACTAGTGTCACCAGTTTTTAATACAGTTTGCCATGCCCAAAGCGGCCTTAACTTTAATACTGAAATTTCAAAAAACAAGTAATCTAATACAATAAAATATTTCCAATGAGGGGTCGAGTGTATTAAGGAGAGGGTGAGGGAAAATGAAAATTTGTTTTAAGAATAGTAATTAATCAAAGTAATGAACAAAACATTTTGTGTATTAAGTTTGTAAAACGTATAATAATAGTTTCATTAAATCCATTTTGAAATTACTTTATACTAAAGATGTCAAGATGAAGGACATTATCAAAGATGTAATAACAATCTTGTCTCGTAGCGATAATATCTTTATCCTCAAAGTTTCCAAATATTTGTAAAAGGAAAATAGATTTTCAGGGCTATTACGACACCTCACTTTTGGTAAAAGCCTTAGAACAATCAAATCGAAATTATGACCAGTTAATAAACTAAGTTTTTATTTAAGAAATTTAGGACATTGATAAATTTTTATTATGATATTGGAGGCAGATTGGGCCTCGTGGTTGTGACGGTTATAATTATATAAACACGAGCGTCTCAGCTGCGCACAGCTGGATAATTATTTAATTAAATATGTAATAATTAAATATATGGTATCGGGGTTTTACATTCATCACTTTGTTCTATTGCCAATAGAGCAGCATACGCAATATATAATAATTGGTATTCTATTCACTCCTTAGTTTTTTTTATACATATTTTCTTTGGCTACTTCGCCGACCATATTGTCGTTGGTGAGCAACTAGTGGCTTCAGCATGTGACTCATCCTTGAGGTCGATCGATCCTCGGCTATGCACAAATGGACTTCCTTTCTATGTGCGCATTTAACATTCGCTCGAACGGTGAAGTGTGAACGGTGGAGGAAAGCAACGTGAGGAAACCGGCTTGCCTTAGACCCAAAAAGTAGATCACCTGCCTATTAGATTAACAAATGATCATGAAACAGATACAGAAATTTGAGGCCCACTCCTAAAAAGGTTGTAATGCCACTGATTTTTTTTTATTTTTTCGTTGGAGATATTGAGTAACTTATTATGACTAGCAAAATTGCATTTGTAACTAGTATGATTTAGTACTACTTATGTCTGTTAACAACTTTTTCTACTATATTTACAGCAAATTTTAGAATGCTGTCTCGTAAGCGGGCCATAGACGGACCGCATGTTGACTGCAATATGCGATCACCGCACGGCGATCTGCAGTTTCCATACTAAATTCATATCCGCAATACACGGACCGCTCGAGCAGTTCCTGAGCAAACCGCATATTGCAGTCGGTGTTGACTGCAACATGCGGTCCGTCTATGGCCCGCTTTAAGCTTTTATCCATCATTATTTCTTTGAAAGTTGTCTTAGTTATTTTCATTCTCTTTCTTTCTGTTATTCTCTTCAGCTGTCCTTGACGATGAGAAACCACCGTGACCTGTCAACATCTGTGTGATCAGTCCCGTTGGTTTTATTTTTTTAACTATGGAATAGGCCTAATCACTCGTTCACAATAATTTGTGGAAATGAACATACGCTATTTCATATATGATTTTATAGTAATTTTTTTTTAAATCGGTTCAGTCGAAAACGACTCTAAAAAGAGCCAATGCAAACAGCATTCAACTCAAACAAACAATCAAATCTTTCATAACAAGAATATAAATAATATGAGTGTATATAGAATTGACAGAAAAATCGATTAACTATTGTATGTAAGCAGTGTGGTAATTAAGTGAATATCATGATTGTAAAATGAAGAAAGCGTTTGGGTTTCTTTCAAATAAGAATTTTATAACTTTGATCTTCAACATGAACTTTAATCAGCAGTATTTTTTAAATTGTCTGACCCCACAGATGCCCTGTATAAGCTATAAATATTCAATTTAAACTGGAAAACGCTTGAAGTTTAGTCGTAAAGTATTCTAAAATTTTCCAATTTACTACGCAATTTTCTTTGAGTAAGAATCTTTGCCATTAAAAAGGGAAAGAAACCTAAAAAAGTATAGCAATTAATCTGTATTCAGGTTCAAAACTAGAGATTTTAATTCAATAACAAATCAGAGTTCATATACATTTTAATATAAAATGCATATTTAATGCAAATTTGCGGCACTATTTATCAAAATAAAATATTTTTAAATGGTAAATTTATTTTTATTGATAAATTAATATATAATAATTGTTCAAAAGAAAATATACATTCATATAAAATGTTGCTTTTAATAATATATAATGTTGCGTTGGTAAATTAACATTTAAGTAAAAAGATATACCTATATGTATTTTTAAATCATTGTATGTAACATTTTTATAATGAATTTACTACTACTACTAATAAATCACTTCATGTAATACCTATATCAGACCTAATGAGGTATAAATTATGATTGCCAGGTCACCGGGCGCACACGGTGTTTGTGGGTGTGCACGTGCCGACTAGACGTCACTCACACAGAAAACATAAACATCATCATCGCACTGAAAAGGACCCTGAAAAGCCAAGTAAGTAACATCATGAGGGCTAAATATCTCTATGACTCTAATCATAAGATACTTTATAAAGCTAAGAGCCAATAGTGTGGGACGCGTCAATTATTATGACTTTCTTATTTATATGTAGGTACTACAATCTTCAAATAGCAAATAATTCTTTTGTTTTGATCCCTCGCGTGACATAAGAAACGTGACAAAACAGTATATATTTTTAAATATTGAGGTTCATAGTGTACATAGTACTACGAATATCATTAAATAAATTCGATTTGATTTGATCAGTATTATAGGACGTCTTTAAATAAGAACTTCACTGAATTTTTCGTCTAAACAGAAATTTGCATTAAATTTGAAAAATGACTTATAAAAATAAAATTTTATATAGAAAATAAAACTTGTGCTAATTAACATTGCTAATCAAAAAAAGTATTTTTGATTAAAGTAATTACACATACATTTTAAATATTAAATAAATTATATTATCTTGAATCTTTTCACTAATGTTATTATTATTATCTAACTTATAATATCAAACTTGGGGTCGCTATTATCGAATACCAGCGCTGATGCCAACTTCCAAAAAAATCGAAAGAGTTTTTTAGTTGTATTTTCACATAGGAGGATTCCCTTTTAACCTAACTACGTGACTTTGGTTTAGGGAAAATAGTCTCTTGTCACGAAATTACAATATTATATAAACAAGACGTAATAAACAAGGGACATGAAACAAACAGTTTTAATGGAGTTGTGGTGGCATTAAGGCTTTTGTGGATTATATTCAGAGTTATTATGCACAATGACCTCATTATCATACCATAATGAAGCCCTTTACATAATAACAGTACACAGTACATAGGGCTAGCCGAAAGTATGTGGCGATAGAAAATTACATCAATTTAAATTTAAACTTCATTTTTCAATTAAAATATGTTTTAATTATAAGATAAATTGCATCCTTGACGATATCTTTAGCGGTTTCTTATGGATATATATACCTAAAGATTTGATGGATATAAGTCGATTCAGTTATTGAGTATAGTAGGTACCTATTTTTTAATGATTAAATGCACACTAAATTTTTTAAAATAATGCACAAAAAATGCATGTCCATTTATTTTAAAATTAAAACAGTAACTTTACTTTCTTTACTATCGTTAGTAGTCTTCCCTCCAGGGGCGTGAATATTATCTGTATAGTAAAATAGCATAAAAAGCAGAGCAAATACTGTTTGAGCAAATAAAAAAAGGACAAAACAAAATGTTTATTCGATAATGTTTAGTCAGGGTTACGAAAACATTATAATATGACTTGACGAAGTAATATGAAATTCAATTGGTTTGATGTTTCATTAAACATAAAATAAGCTTTTACTTTTTCATAAGACTAACTCATTTACCGATACACAAATATGTTATTGATAGCAATCCATTTGCATAATAAATTCGATTCGTAGGCTCCGCAATAATGGCCCGGGTTAGAAGACTGAGCGTAACAGATGACGGCGAAACATGTAAGCTAAATTGGGATCCAATTTTATCGGTTTTGTTATAATCATATGCCATCTCATGTTTCAGCATGACTTAGATATACTAAATTATTGTGCATGTTTAATGTTTATGTCAGATAAGATATTCTTACTTGTTCATCTTCATGTGAAATATTTTTGTCCCTTTTCGCCTTTATGAGTAGGTTCTGTTATTAATTGATTAGTTTTTAATAAGTTTAATTTTACAGTGACACCACCTGCGCAAAGAGTCCAATTCATACTTGGAGAAGATGTCGACGATTCTACGATGGTGTCTCATCCCTTATTCTCAGAAATGGAAGAGCTCGTTAAAGACGGCGACGAGCTTGAATGGAAAGAAACAGCTCGTTGGATCAAATTTGAAGAAGACGTTGAAGAAGGAGGGAATAGGTGGTCTAAGCCCCACGTTGCCACTCTGTCTCTACATTCACTTTTCGAACTCCGAAGTTTAATACTCAACGGATCCGTAATACTGGATATGGAAGCAAATTCTCTGGAACAAGTTGCTGAAAATGTACTGGATAATATGGTGATGGATGGCTTTTTAGGTTACGATAATAGAGACAAGGTGAAAGACGCTCTATTACGACGACATAGGCACCAGCACGAGAAACGAAACCATAACAACATGTCTAGGCTTCCTCTAATACGATCATTGGCAGACATCGGAAGGAATCATTCATCCTGCAAAAGTAAGTATATAGTCGACATATATATATTACAATATTTCCAGTTTATGTACTTGGATGTGGCGATAACAGATTTGCAGGATAAAGATCCTCAGAGCACCAGCTCCAAAAGCTGTCGAGGCCCAACGACAAAACCTCACACAGCTCTTCTTCATGCAAGTGATACACGAGGATCTTACCTAGCTGTTCCAGGTCAGCACAGAGTAAATATGTGCGATTAATCACGACGCACGCTATTACCTGAAGTGCACTTGGCTCGTATTAAGCTGTACATACCACATAACGCTATAATACTCCTCTTCCAAAACAATACGTGGCATTTCCATTAATATTTGTTACAATTGGCATTATATTCCAGTGGAAGAGAGCAGTACAAGCAGTGGACAATCTCAAAAAGGAGATATTGGTCGTTTCCTAGGCATACCACTCGCGGGTAACCGCTATCGTTTTTATTGGTGTTTTTTTTCCTACTCTATGGCCGAAAAGATCGGCCTCTATGTTTCGATGTTTTTTTTTGTAAATATTCGATTCATAAGCTACATGCTAGTTACATAGACAGTTAAATTTATGTGAATTAAATAGCTTCGCTCATGCTTTTTAAAGAAATAAATCTCCTTAGTATTCAGGATGCTACTATCAAACCTACGGTTACACTTGAGCACATCCATCATTCATCATGAATGTTTATTAACACTGTATTATTTTAAACACGCTTTTATATCTTATATATTTTTATATACTATTTTTATATGCATGTTTCTTCATATTTAATTCATAAATATACAAAAGAAATATTTTCAGGTGCACCTCATGACGAAGGTATGATTAAAAGCCCAAGTAGTGGATCAATGCAACATGGCCACGATATCACATTGAACGGAGATGTGAACCATAAAAGTAACACGCATTTTATGCGAAAAATCCCACCAGGAGCTGAAGCTTCAAACATTCTCGTGGGTGAAGTTGATTTTCTTGACAAAACGTTATCTGCTTTTGTCAGACTCAAAACTGGTACCATCATGGGCGATTTAACCGAAGTAGCGGTGCCAACACGATTCATGTTTGTTTTACTTGGCCCACCTAATAGTAACTCTAGCTTTCATGAAATCGGAAGAGCAATGGCTACACTAATGTCAGATGAAATATTCCACGAAGTCGCATATCGCGCAAAGAAACGCGATCATCTACTTGCGGGAATAGACGAATTCCTAGATGCAGTGACAGTCCTTCCACCGGGTGAATGGGATCCCGCTATAAGAATAGAACCTCCTGCGGCAATTCCATCTCAAGATCTACGAAAACGTCCAAATGATAATAGCATAAAAGAAGAACCCGATGAAGAAGAGGAAGAGCAAAGACAACGTGAAGAATCTGGTTTAGCTAGAAGTGGTAAATTATTTGGCGGTTTGATAAATGACCTGAAAAGAAAAATGCCTTGGTATTGGTCAGATTTTAAAGACGCATTGGCCTTACAATGCATTGCATCGTGGATATTTTTGTATTTTGCATGTTTGTCGCCAATTATTACATTTGGAGGGTTACTAGGCGAAGCGACTGGTAAAAATATGGCTGCAATGGAATCTCTAGTGAGTGGCTTCGTCTGTGGTATGGGTTATGGCTTCTTTTCAGGACAACCATTGACGATATTAGGCTCTACTGGTCCTGTATTAGTATTTGAAACTATTGTTTTTGAATTTTGTAAACAAGTAGGATGGAACTACATGTCTTTTAGATTTTGTATCGGAACTTGGACCTCTATCATACTAGTAATACTAGTAGCCATTGATGCTAGTGCTCTAGTATGTTATATAACAAGATTCACTGAAGAAAATTTCGCCACATTAATAGCATTCATTTTTATATACAAGGTAAGTTCATAAAAAGGAAACGATACTTAAAAGTTTTAAAAACAATTACAACGCAAAGTTTATTTTCAGGCCGTCGAAAACGTTATTTCGATAGGGAAAAAATATCCGCTAAAGACACGCCCTGATGAGATACTCAATTATGAATGCTACTGTTTGCCAAGTAATTACTCAAAGGTTCCCGAGCAATTTAATTGGACATCCATCGACAAAGAGTCGTGTAAAGTAAGTAAACTTGTTTATGACCGAATTTTGTGTATTCGTATAGAAGTACTAAATGATTACAACGTTGGACAGACAATACACAATGACCTTCTCTTTTCAGTTTTATAATGGGACGCTGGCTGGCGGTGGATGCGATACAAAAGTTTACGTGCCAGATGTATTTTTAATGTCCATCATATTATTCCTCGGAACATTTGCAATTTCAATTATTCTAAAGGATTTTAAGAATTCTCTATTTTTTCCTTCGAAGGTATTTAAAATCGTACAAAATTTTACCAGTACGATGTGTGAATGAATTTACATATTGTATTATTGTTTTAGGTCCGTCAAATAATAAGCGATTTTTCTGTAATAATAGCGATTTTATCTATGTCGTTCTTGGATTATAAAGTCGGAGTCAAGACACCAAAATTGGAAGTTCCTTCGGAGTTTAAGCCAACCTTGCCAAGTAGGAATTGGGTGATCACTCCTTTTAATGGCAATCCCATATGGTCAGCGCTCGTTGCCATTTTACCAGCATTACTGGGAACCATATTGATATTCATGGATCAACAGATAACTGCAGTTATTGTGAACCGTAAAGAGAATAAATTGAAGAAAGGATGTGGATATCATCTTGATCTCTTTGTTCTGGCAATTTTAATCCAGATATGTTCAATAATGGGTTTGCCTTGGTTTGTAGCTGCAACTGTACTCAGTATAAACCACGTTAATTCCTTGAAAGTTGAATCGGAATGTGCAGCTCCTGGAGAAAAACCACAATTCCTAGGAGTAAGGGAACAAAGAGCTACTCATATAATGATCTTTATAACAATAGGATGTTCCGTTTTACTTACACCAGTTTTGAGACACATTCCAATGCCAGTATTGTTTGGAGTATTCCTGTATATGGGTGTCGCCTCCCTTAAAGGTCTTCAATTTTTCGATAGGATTTTGATCATGTTCATGCCACAAAAATACCAACCGGATCACATGTTCCTTCGGCAGGTTCGTTTTACAATATAACCATATCAAACACTTAAGTATATACTCAAACATAATCCTGTACCTAGTAACAAGAGGTGTGAATATTTGAAATTGTGTTGAGATAACGAGACCATAAGACTCCCAAAACTTTGTTTGTTAATAATACGTTTAAATAAAATGTGTCATTATAACGTGCATAAAACTCTATCAATGTATGTTTTCTTTTATAGAGAATTCTAACTTAAATATAATAATCAATTTACAGGTGCCAATTCGAAGAGTTCACGTGTTTACAGCTTTACAATTGACATGTCTGATTTGCCTGTGGTTGGTTAAATCGTTTTCTTCGACCTCAATACTATTCCCTCTCATGTTGGTTGTCATGATTGGTATTAGAAAAGCGCTGGACCTATTTTTCACTAGACGTGAATTAAAGATCCTCGATGATGTCATGCCCGAAATTACAAAGAGAAGCCAAGACGAACTTCGTGAACTCGGAGACGGAGAGGTGGGATGGCATGCAAAACTGTTCGCATTTTGTCATCGAAGCTAGTTATGATGATTTTATCATTCGTACGTAGTTCAATCAGATTTAGATTCTTTAGACCTTCTAATTTGTCTTAATAAAATCGATGTTTTGTTTATTATGGTTTTTTATTAATATCTACCCTACTACTTTCGCTAGAAAAATCACCATTCACGTAGCACACATGCACAGTAAAATTGGTTACTTCGGAACATTTCCTACTTGACAATTCTTAGGCTCTCCAATTGTAGGATACAACAAAAAGCAATCCACCCGAATTTCAAGAAAATCTACAAATACCTTTAATAAATGGAAATATTATGAATATACCTTTGGCTTCGATTAACATATCGGAAGAGATGAACAAAACAGGAATTTGGAAGCAAGTAAATAATAGTAATACGACAAAAGCACGAGATGATCCCAGAGAGTTTAAAACTAAATCAGGAAAGAAAACGTAAGTTAAATTAATAATTAAATATACAAATATTTCATAACATGACCAAAACACATCGCCTTTCCAGTATAAACAAGTACGTATCCACAAACTGTGTTCAATACATACCTACTTTTATATAATTCTAAAAGGTTCTTTAAATAAAAATTAAAGAATACACTACTATAATAATGACCAGGGATTTGAAATATTTCAGGAACAAACACAAAAAAATAATGTCAAAAAGTTTTCAAACAGAGGTGGAGAGACGTCTGTCCACGATGGATGAGATCGAGGAAGATGATTCAATGAAGGTGTGCGTCAATGATATGAAATTCTAGTGTAGCACCAACGAGTCGGCAATGCCGCATGACACGGTACCACATGCATGCATATTGCAAACGCCTAAACTGCATTTTTGTTTATTATTGCATCATAGCCATATTATCTCTATAACATAGTCTTGAAGCCCTGGCGGTTATGCGATACTGTAAAGAAGTGTGAAGACTGTCATGAAGCAGACAAATTATACAGTCTGTTACTGATTGTTTTTCTTAACGGGCAAGTAGTGCAAATAGAACTTTCAAAAACTCTGCTAGAATACGTATCCTACGCGACTTACGGAGACTTGAAATATTCCAAGAAGACATTCTATTCTATAGTCAAAACTCAAGATGGTGCGATGCTTCCTCTAACTTTTTAAAGCATTACATAAAGAATCATAGAGGAATATTACTTACACTAAACACATGGATTTTTAGTGCGGAGATAAAGGGAACCAACTTTCATATTATATTTCTTGTATATTAGATTTCTACTTTTATACAGTAATTTAGAACTAATTCTATCTTTGTTTATGTTGCATGTTTGCCTGGTTGCATGCTTTTTCCGTCTCTAGAGTCGACTGCATCCTAAAAAAGTATTGATTTACAGAGCGAGCTACTAAAGCGAAGAGATTCTTGGAGCATTAAGAAAAATGAGTGCAAGAAAAATGGAATTTCGACGGAAACATCGGTCTAATTAAATTTTGATGTATTTTAATATTCTTAGCCATAAATTAAGTTCTATTTTTGAGACAGTGATATTATTTTCAACTGTGAACTTATAGAGCTATGTATTTTTTTATTGTCAAAATATTTAGATTGTTTTACATTTAGTCAAGCACCTGATTATTATGAAGGAAGTTCGCAACATAAACCAAGAGTTGCCATCGAATCCTAGTATTAATATAGATGGTTTTAAGTAGCAGTTTCCAAGAAAGTATCTAGCGTCTATATTCAATTTCATAAAGCGTTCCAAGATTCGACAAATTTTGTCTACGTTCGTTTCCAAATATCTCACCTAATAATTTTAGAGCGTATTTATAGTAAGTAATTTTAAAAAACATAATTTTAGTACGTCTATGTATGTAAGATATGATCCAGCACAAAATATACAAGCAATTATTTAGATGTAAGTTGGAATCTTTGAATGACTGGAAATCATAGTATATTATATATATGTATACTCAATTGTAGTGATTTAATATCTCGGTGTTATATCTTAGTGATAAACTCTTTAAACTCCCCATATGCGACGTAGTTTTAATGTGCCAATAGCTAAAACACTTTAGTATTAACATACCTAAATATAAATGTGATTTTGTAATCTATGTTAGTATATATTCTGTATGGTATAATAAAACTAGATATTATAAAACGCATTAGGCGGTTTCAGGGTGCGACTCTCATCTCTGAGGTCGTAGGTTCGATATCCGGCTTTCTGTCTAACATCTCGCTTGGTGACGGAAAACATCGTGAGGAAACCGGCATCCCTTAGACCCAAGTCGACGGCGTGTGTCAGGGACAGTACGCTGATCACTTACTGATACTGTCCATGAAATTAAAATGATTATAGAAACGGATGCAATCTGAGGCGATACAGGGTTGGAGCGCCACTGGATTATTATTAATATAAAACGCATAACGTAACATAACGAGTTGCTATGGCAACAATAACATCTTTTGTCGAATTACCCAGAATACCTTCTCCCATCACTGTTAGTCTTTTATGAACTCTTCTGTATTCTATAATTTGTCTATGATTTATGCAAATCCTACATAGAAAACTTATAAAAAACGAATTTATTACGTTGTTTCTCGCTACGGCCATCGTGGGCTGTAGAGTACTCGAAACTTCGAGTTATGCAACAAGTTATATCTTGATGTATTTTACCGATATCCGTCTCCACTTCTCAATTAGTCCTGGCTGGGACAATGGTTATTATATAGTTTAGTTTTAATTACTAATCTTAAGGAGCTCATTTGCTAAGTATGCGATATATCCAAATATAAATATTTTGGCCATGTCCACTGACACTGTCAACTATCTTTTTTTTTTCATTTCATTCATATTGTCAAATGCCATGTGTCAAAAGTCTAGCTCAATTTTAAATTAACTTTATCACAGTAGACACAGCAAAGTTACGCTTGAGTGAGATAACGCAAATTTCAATCTCCTTAAGGCCGATTACATTATTTGTGTTTAGGAGAGTGCTTTAGTACAACTTGAAAGGCAAGTTCTTTAGTGCTTTAGTGCGTTGCGAGTGAACGTTTACATTTCTTCCAGTAGAGTATCATTACAGCGCCACAATGAACGCGCAACGACGTCGGCAAATACGCTCTATTCTACGCAAAATACTAATTGTAGTTATGGAACAAATAGAAGACGAGATTTTATTCGAAATAAATAAACTAAATAATAAACAAAATAGCTTCTTTTAAGGCAGTGTATGCCGAATGCCTAGGGTTTGTTTTTGTATAAATTGTTTTTAACGTTCCACAAACATTCGTGAACAACATATTCAGACACAAATTTGATAATTGTATCTTCCGACCATTTAGCCATCTTTAAAAATCAAAAAACACGCACGCGTTTCACGGCACTTATGCACTCTCCTAAAGATTTGACTAAATTACGTGTTTACACACAACGAGGGAAGATTGGGGGTGAGCGGGTGGAGAGGGGTATCACTTGAAACAAAAATAAAAAGTATTTATTTTGATTCAACTTGAAAGTCAAGTAGAACCGTACTAAAGCAAGTAGCGTTTACTAAAGCAAGTAGCGTTTACATGTTTCAACTAAAGTACTATCTTAAAGCACTCTCCTAAACACTAAGATAATGTAATGGCCTTTAGTTCAAGTTTAGATTTTAAGTGCTTTTTGCTTTTGGGTCTAATTTTATTAAACCAAATAATTAAATTAAGTCGCCTAATTTGAGTTTCCTTTTTGGGATAATTGTACCTGTTTGCTTGTTTGTTACGCTTTCGTCTTGAATGTTAAAAATAAATGTTTTTATAAATGTGTTTGAATTTATTTTCTTCTATAATCATATGCAAATATTTAAGATTTATCAAATTCAGGTAAAAGTTTACTTGTTATTCCCTAAGAAAAATAAATGAAAAGGTATTTTTTATAAGTGCGTCCCTGAAATGAACAATTAAAATTACTGATTACATGTAATATCGTATTATATTCTTCTGATTAAGTTTAAAAATCAACAAATACCTTTGCCGTAACCGTAGGAGTCCGAGGTAACAAACTGCGAGATAATTAAATTTAAAAAAAAAAACAAATAATTTAATAACATGTATATTAATATCATTTCACTATACTTACAATAAAATAAATTAATCTAAACATTGTCTAGGCGGTTAATTATTCTTCTTCTTCTTTTGGTCTGGTAGAATTCCCATTTCCTCTTGGTATTTCCTTATAAGCTGTTCCTGTACATCCGGAAGACAGGGAGAGTAACGACTGTACTCCATACTAAACTCACCTTTGCCTTGGGTCATTGACCTTTAAAAGGATTAATATGGAATTGTTATTGTAAGAATTTAGATATTATAAGTATATTTAAAAATAGAAACTAAAAGTCTATCGTTTATTGTAATTTTAATTAGAGCAGATATTATAATTACAGCTACGAAAGTTTTCAATTAATTTATGTCTGAGAGTTTTGATTGACATTGTGTATATATAATAATTATTAAAATAACCATCAAACCATCTTTTTAATTTAATTATTTATACATTTAAACATTCTTGGTCTTGATATTTTAAAACAACAAACTGTGTCTAGTCATATCCGGTGTAACACACACACTAATGTGTTCATAGACTACACATTACCCATAATCTAAAATCTGCTTGCGTCTGTTACGTGGTACCAACAAATGGTAACCATGGTAACAAGCTTGACTGTAGTAAGTACGCGTAAGTCGTTATAAGACGTATTATAAAAATCTCACCTAAGTTCGCCAGCATATCCGAACATATTATTCAAAGGCACTTCAGCATATATCGTAGTCCAGCTATCGGCACCCTCGGTGCCTGTGATGATGCCACCCCGTTTGTTTAATTGACCAATCACCGTCCCATGGAACTCATCTGGTGTGATGACTTCGACGAACATAACGGGTTCAAGGATTTGCCACGCGCCTTCTTCGAAGACTGTGTAATGTAATTTATAATTGTATTTACATTAATATACAAAGGAACTATTTGTTTTTTTTTTATAGTAGATAAATTCTAACCTGAGAAAAAGCAAAAAATGTAAAAGGACAGGCTAAAAAACGACGGGTTGCACTACGTTGTGCATTTTTGATATTTTGGAATGGTTAGGGAATAATTTTGCACGAATTGCTTTAATTATCAGTATAAAAGTACTATCATTTATGTGGTAGAATACAATATTTATTTATTGCGCTATCGTACACAAACATGACAATTTATATTACATTAAATACGCCGCGCCAGCTGTCTACTATCCGTCTTACTAATTTTCGATCAGGTCACGTGTCCTGACGCGAGTTTGACATTTTTTACCCATTCCAAAAAAAGTGTTCAACGCCGCTAAAGAAGTTTTCACTTCAAAAACAGTTACTTCCAGACCACCCAGTCGTAAAAAAATTGGAATCAGAATACAGAACCTACTCGTAAAACAGTAACTAATTTATATAAAAATACATGCACAGGGTAACAAACATCAGTTAATAAACAAAAGTTCATGGGTACAATGTTGTTAGTCGTTCTTAAATGTATATTTACTCTACGAGGTCCGGCTACAGGTAGAGCCTTGTACAATCGAATGGCAGGAACATAAGGAACCATATTACACATTTTTAAAAGTAAATTACGATTACTAATTACAGTCGAGTCTCGATAATTTGAAACTCAAACCAGAGATACATTTCAAATTGCCTCGAGTTTACTTATTTCATTTTTACTCTCAAACATTATACTGTATGTTACAAGAATGACAATCAGATACTTATGAATATATGATATAGAAAGGATATATATATGTGAAAATAACATGAGAACTTAAGAATCGCAGCGATAATCAGATCCATGCAACTTCATCACAATCGAGTAGCCCGGAATATCTCAGCACACAACTCACGAGGGGACTCTTTGTATTGAAGAAGTCGCATGGGTCCAAATAACCACGAAGGGGAAACTCAAGTAAATAAAAGTTTGATCAAAATTATTTCTATATTATTAATATGAATGAAACAATTGAATACAATTATTATTCACAAACTTTTATTTCGTAAAGAAATCCGTTATCTGTTTTTGAGTTTTTATTCAGTCTACCATTGTCGAAAGAAATTTAAAATACAATTAATAGGTCTGTACACGATAAACACTTTAAATTATAGAGATGGTCAGGGATGGTAGGGATGATCAGACTTTAAATTATACCATTTTGGCGAGCAATATACTATTCCTTCAAATTCAAATTACCGAGGGGTCAATTAACATTAATTTTATTCAATTTATCGAGTATTTTTCAAGGGACCGGAAGGAAATGTCAAATTATCGAGAGTCTTTGGCTCGTTCTGACTCAGCTGATCATTTTCCTAGTTGGCTAATCAATAATCCTTTTTTTCACAAACAACAAAAAGTAGCATTTTTGTTATACAAAATACAATGTAATGCGAGAGGGCGCAAATCTTTGCTAAAGAAATTAATTTAAAATATAAATTCTAAGACAACACTGGGTTAGTAAGTTTGATGTTAGCAAAAAATTTTTTTTTAATTAGACTCGATAAAGTTCTATGAACCACTCCTCATAAGAGCTATTAAAACACACGGGCCATTAAAGGGCCTTGACTTACCTTCCTTAACAGCTCCCTTAGCAGCCAAGAAGAAAGCCAATTCGCTGGAATCCACCACGTGGTGAGCACCATCTTGGAGCCGGAACTTAATACCAGATACTTTGTGACCCGATAGGAATCCCTTTTGACAGGTGTCCAGGAATCCCCTTTCGATACCGGGAATGAAGGGCTTAGGAACGTTAGTTCCCATTGTTTCGTCCACGAATTCTAGTACTGAAATGTAATAGCAGAAATAACTTATTAGTACGACCAGGAACATATTAGGTCCTTACATATGAAATTGGCGTTTTGTATGGGAGGAACAAAAAGTCGAATATTTTTAAATATAATATATTTAATGAATCAAAGTATGAACCATTGTTTTCTATGCACTTTTGCCATTTCATAGGTAGTTCATTGATCCTTTTACTAAAAAACCAGTCGGACGGGAATCAATAAAATCTGTGAAGGCGATTTGGACTGCCCCATCAGAGTTAAATTTTTCCCTTGCAAAAGTTGTCCAAATTTCGAAAAAATGGTAATCTGTTGAAGCAAGGTCCGGGATACGGAGGATGTCTTAGACATTCCAATTGAAGCTCTTCTAATTTGGTAGCCGTCTTTGTGAGTGTGTGGTCTAGCGTTGTCGTGAAGTAGCAGTGGCGTAGTTGTTTAGCCGCTAGCTTTTCCATCATGGTTTGCAATTGCGAAATAGACATCAGCCGTAATAGTTGGAGATTTGAGAAAACTGCAATGAACAATACCGGCACTAGTCCGCCAAACGCTTACAAGTAACTTTTTGGGGTTAATTTTCGCTTGAGGCAGGATTTGGCTGGCTGGCCAGGATCCAACCATTGCGCTGAGCGCTTCCGATTATCGTAAAGAATCCATTTTTCATCACAGGTAATGATTCGGTTTAAAAATACCTTCATTATTGTGCCGGTTCAGTAATGTAACGAGCAGTCGACGCGGTTTGCCGGTTTGCTTCAGTCAATTCGTGAGGTACCCATCTTTCAAGCTTTTTAATCTTCCCAATTTGCTTCAAGTGAATTAAAACAGTTTTATCACTAACACCGCAGCCTGCAGCTAACTCGGACGTGGTTTGCGATGGATCCGCTTCCACATTCAATACTTAATTATCAACTTGGGTTCAGGCCGTACACGGGGCTTGTTCTGCAGGTCGAAATTTCGAAAACGAAAACGTTGGAACCAAAAAACAAACTGTGTTTTCTTTTGCAACATGACCGCCATACACATCATTCACCCTTCGAGTCGTTTCCGCAGCACTAGTGCCACGGCGAAACTCGTACTCGTAAATAATGCGATACTTTAAGTTTTCCATTTTGTAAAAGGAGTGACGCAAACAGAAAAAAACAAAAGAAAAAAACAAATGAATGACGGTCATCGAAGCACAAATACATGAGTAAACAATTAGAATTGTACAATTAGAATTTGGAATTCCTTACCAAAGAGGAGAACATCGTGGTTAAAGTGGCCAGTACGAAATACGCCAATTTCATATGTAAGGACCTAATATAAAAGTAGTAGGCTTTTTAATTAATTGTTTAATAAATAAATCCGCGTTAGCACCTCTACGATGTTATCCATATACAATGGTAACCATGGTAACATGTACTGTGTGTATTTAGTTCATATTTTAAAATGGCAGTAGCTTTACCAGCTGCCCACTGAAGTATTTCCGAACCAATTCGACTTAGCGTCCTTCAAGAAAAAAACGTACTTATTCGGCCGGCAAAGCACTCGCGCGCCCTCTGGCAATGTGAGTGTCTATGAGCGATATCACTTAACATCATGTGAGCTTCCTGCCCATTTCCCCGTTATATAAAAACAAAAACGTACCTACAACTGTTCAACTGTAGAAATAGTAGAATTAGGCCTGTAATGATAAAAGTGCCTCTAAACACCTTAATTAAGCATTTAAAAGCATATTAATGTAACTAGAAGTTTTTATTTATATAGCAGGGAGCAAACAGGCCTTTAAGCCTTTAATAATTTGTAAGCTCTCTTGAGAAGGAACCTAATAGAATTGGTTCGGAAATACGTCAGTGGGCAGCTGCCACTGCACCACTATGTGGAACCAGCTGGTAGCACATAGTGGTGGTGCGCGGCAACGACTTAAAAAACGCTCAGTTGTGGATCGACGGACGTCAAGGTGACACGGGTGGAATTTCGTATTCTTCCTCCGTCGTCCGAAGATGAACGTGTGTTATGAAACAACACAGTAAGAAACCAATTACCACCATAAACTTGGACTTACTAAAAGAAATAGTTATACTATTGTTAACTTGGCGATTAAAAAGAGTGGCGGAGAGTTTATTGCCGATCTACGCCCTTGAATTGCGAACTGGTAGTAAATGTAAATTAAGAATTAGTTTATAAGTGTATTTGGTTTCCTATATAAATAAAGTTATTTTGAGTTAATAAAATTAGAACTATGTTAGGATCTTTTACTGATTTATGACACCCTAAAATTTCAAATTCGTTTATTCATTAATTAATATGTGCGTTTATGAAGGTAGGGGTGCGGCGATTTGTAATTTTCATGAAGTTTCCGCGGTACAATAACTCAATACTGAAGTCAGGATGGCTATACGTAGATGTGATTATAACAAGTTTTTGTTACACTTACATGTATTCTGATGTGGTGGTAATGGCTCCAAAATACCCACAACCCTGGCGTATTGCCCTGCCCCACCGGATTGCTTCTTGTGAAGGTAGTCGAAGGTACATGGGGACATCATTGTCTCTCTGAAATACATATTATTCAAGGCTCATTCTTATAAAAACTTAGTGTGAAATAAACTCTTTGTAAAAAATATTTAATAGAGAAAATAGAGAATAAATGCTTTTTTTATCATCGAGACTATCTTCATATGCTGAGTTTATTTACAGTGGAACATAATATCAAAAAGACAGACAAAATATAAACATATTTATTAACTTTAGTTCTTCAGCTATCCTTCGTTATTACTGCTTAATTTTCTTTTAATTACAGATCACAAGTAATAATTATTAATATTCATTACCTATAAATATACAAACTGAAGGCAACAATCAAGAAAATTATTTTATAAAAATTATTAAAAAGAGTGAAAATTTTCTGTAAAAAAATAGAAATAACAATTAACTGTTATAATATACATACTAAGGCAATGATAAACTTTTGACACAAAAACTACTAAGAGATTTTTATGACAAACACATATTTTTATAGCTTGTTTGTTTGTATGCTAGAGACAAAACACTCGGTACTCGGCTACTTGGTAAATTTCTATGAAAATGGGGCAAATTACCTGAACGCCACCTTAGGTTTTCCCAATTCAACAGGACAATTGTACTCTCTCTCCATTCTCTGAGCATAAATCTCTAAATGCAACTCTCCCATTCCGGACACCAGTGTCTCCTTATTGTCACCGTCATAACGAAACTGGAATGTTGGGTCTTCCTTTGTAAACCTAGAAACAAAGTAAATAATTATTAAAGTTTTTTGTGAAGTCATATTGGAAGACAGGTTTTGTATGTATATATACAAAATAAAAATAGCTGTGAAATTGTAGAATTGGAAAATTAATATTTCAAAATGCATCTTGTACAATCCTCCACATCTTACGTCTAAAATAATGGTTTATGTTATAATTTATTCAACTGACCATAATATTTCCAACTTTAAACTTAGAGATAGGTAGTAGTTAAGTTCACTTTTAATTACTAGTACCTAGTAATTAATAAAAATCATCAGCTGATGGGAGTGAAAAGTAATTAATTATTTATAAAATCTCTTGTTAATAATATATGAATGTTACATAGTTCTGAAACACTAAGAACTTATCTCAAATTAATAATAAAATAAAAATTAAACATACCTAGCAACCGCTTTGGAGAAATTATCTCTATCCTTATTATTCTTAGGTTTTATAGACATAGAAACAACTGGATCCGGCACATGTATGGATTCCATTGATAGTTGTAGCTTGCTATCATTTACAAATGTATCTCCAGAAGCGCAATCTACGCCGAACAATGCAAATATATCACCTGCTAATACCTCATTCACTTCTTCCATATTGCTAGAATGCATACGGACAAGGCGAGAAATTTTTACCTGAAAAATGAATAAGTTTTATAAATATATTTGTTAATACATAAATGTCTTGATATTTGGGTCTGTATGGACCAGTTGAGAATGGATCTGTATCCAGTGAGTATGAATATTTGGTGTAGGTGGCTTACAATTTATATTAATAAGCTTACACTATTTATAAAAAAATTACAACCAAACAATGATTTACTAATAGAAGATCAGTGTACTAATATTACTAATCTATACATATTACATTGTTTAAAAATTTAGAAAATACAGGAACAAGCAGTAAATGTTTAATTGTATACCTTCTTTCCTGTTCTAGAATTGAAAATATTGTCACCGCGCTTTAGCATTCCTTGGTAGCATCTCAGATATGTCAGCTGTCCGAACTTGCTTAACTCTAACTTAAAAGCCAAACCAACAAATGGTTTAGAGCCGTCTCTCTTTGGGTCCAAAATCACTGTTTCTCCTTCATCTGCTTTTTTTTCACCCAAAATGGCTGTATTTTCCACTTCACCTGGATGTGGGAGATAATCTAATACTGCGTTCAGCAGAGGTTGGATTCCCTTATTCTTAAGTGCTGTTCCTAAAAGTACTGGGGTAAATGTTCTCTTCAATGTGGTACGGCGGATAGCCTGCCTCAGTTCTGGTAATGTTGGCTTTCTTTCTTCTAAAAACAGCTCCCCTGGAATAGAAATTATAATTGGTGTTCACACTTTAATGTGAAAAAATAAAAGTGTGACTCTTTAATATTGCACTAGGTATGTCCACTAAAGTACTTAAATTTGAAAAACACACAAGCTTTTCATACAGAATATAATTACTAGTTAAAGAAGAATAAGCAGAAATACTTTTGGCTATTCTACCTTAAAAAACACATGTTATACAGGAATGGCTATTTATTATGGTAAGATTCAAAATTAACACAAAATATGTCAAAAACATATTGGATTTTGACATGTGGTAGTTAGTTGGTTAGTTTTAGCCTATTCTTAAATAAGCCTCAATCCTGAATTGTACCCACAGAACCATCCATATCCAATTAATAAGCACTTCAGACAATAAAAAGCTTACCTAGTGTTTCATCAACATTCGACAAATGTTCAATTAGTTCATGTCGTTTTTCATCAACTTCAGCTCTTCTATCTCTGGGTATTTCATCCAACCTTACAATTTCACCATAATTTCCATCGAAATAAACGGCTTTTTCTTCAACCAGATCTATAATTCCTTGACATTCTTTCTCTAAGCCAATTGGTAGGTGCAAAAATGCAGCATTATGTTTTAATTTAGTTCGCATTTGTTTGAGAACTCTGCAATTCATGCAATATAATATTAGAAAATAATGAGATAGTATGAATAAATATATAATGACAAGAAATAGCTGTTAATAGACATCATGTGTAGTTAAAATTTGTGAAATACCTTTAGTTGGTACAGAAAAAAAATCTATATGACCAAATTCATTATACATAGTTATTGTAATAAAAAATTCAAACAATCAACTTTTTACCTCTCAGGATTTGCTGCTAATCTATCCAATTTATTAATAAACGCCAAACATGGTACATTATACCGCTTCATTTGCCTATTAACTGTTAATGTTTGACTTTGGACTCCACCTACAGCACACAACACCAATACTGCACCGTCTAAAACTCTCAAAGCTCGTTCCACTTCTACTGTGAAGTCTACATGTCCTGGTGTGTCAATAATGTTGATATTGTGATCTTTCCATATTGTATACGTAGCTGCTGACTGAATAGTAATTCCTCTTTGTCTTTCTAATTCCATGGAGTCCATGACAGCACCGACATTGTCTTTGCCTTTTACCTATTAATTTAATTTATTAAATGTAATTTACATACAGTACTTTGTTATAAGATAGCCAAAGCTTCTCAGAGAAACAAATAAATTTTATCCTGGTCTAAATTAAAGTAAAACGAGTGCCAATAAATTAAATACATATAGTAATAGAAGACCTACCTCATGCATTTGATCAATTCTTCCTGTATAAAATAATACTCTTTCCGTAAGAGTAGTTTTGCCAGAATCTATGTGTGCTGATATACCTATATTTCTAATTTTTTCCAATTCTTTATGTTCGGCATATTTAACATATGATGAATACTATAACAAGTACATACTTATTAGATTACATAGATGTGGACTATATTTTTTATTTGATATTGACAACACATTTAAAATTAAATACATCCATATTTTAAGATCTACGAATGAAAATGAATACAAAAATGTTATGTATACCTGAAATTTCGATAACCTTAAAGGATTTGAAATCTTTTGTAGATGTCCTATTCGTAATATGTTTAGGAAAGACATTTTGATTTTAAGATTTTTTTTATGTACCGCATAAAAATATTTACATTAAGATTGAAATTTATATACGTAACATTTATCAAAGTATTAAAATTTATATATACGATAGAACTTAGTAAATTCGGCGATCGGTCTTTTTTTTAAATTTTGACTACTTCATAATTCATATCGTCTCATGAGTTCTTTAACCTTAAACATTTCAATGACAATTGACAACTGACAAATACACAGCAGTCAGCAGCAGCACATCCTAGTGCTAGAGATCCTATTCGATCTCGGAACGTGGATGTAACAGAGTACAGACGTCAGACTGGACAGGAATCGACAGGTGATCAGATTCATCAAAACGCTTAATGGGTTTAACTCTTTCTCTCTATCCAGAGAGAGATAAAATGGCTAGATCGGCCATTTTATCTAAGTAGTTTTGATGAATAGGGTTGTCTTCTATAACTATAAAAAAATGTTTATGGAATTGAGCTTGAGACTAAGAAAATATGAATGCTTAAAGACTATCGGCAAATTAAGTATTAGGCTCCCTACTATATAATATATCTGTGGTGGTACTGAAATTTGCTTTGCCTTTTTTTGGTTATTGGTTGCAGTTACCATTTATACTGATAAGTATATATTATGTATACTTATTCTCCCTATCCAATGACAATGTGTAACGCTATTGCTACCTACAACACACTCTTTTAATTTGTCATTGTATTTTTGAAAGCTTTCCTGTATCATGTAGTGGGGTAAATAATCTTAATTTTGCCACATAGCAGTGTAGCTATAGAAAGACATTTTTTCGTTGGATAACGTTTTAAAATATGCATTGAGAAACAAAATTATGTTAACATTAACTAAGGAAAACCTGAATCCAAGGCAAAAATAATAATATTATTCCTTTTTTTATTTTCATTAATGTAATGTGACAAATATTATTTATTATTTTTGATAAATATATCTATTTAAATATTATAAATAATTGTAAATATATATTAATTTAAGTTGGATTTGCTGCTTTGCGTCGTGTGTAGCATGGTCTAAATACTTAAGCCTGCCCGGAACGCGAATAGTACTAAAAACCATCGTGTGAATGTTGGCTGTACTGTAAACTGTTTCCTGCGTTTCGGAACAGTAAATGTCAGAAAATGTCAGTTTCATCTTAGTTTAAAAAGAATATGGCCGTGTTAGGCCAGAATGTGAGTGTAAATATGAATGGACACAGTAATATTCATAGTCAGTTAACAAAATCATTAGAAAGAATTTTGGAAGATGCTTACTTAAGTGGTGAATTAAAATTGAGCGGACGCAAATTACGCGAGTTTCCAAAACCAGTGAAGTTTGACTTGAGTGATACAGTTATTGCTGGTAAGTCCCTAGTGATTTTATAAATAGGACGTATTTTTAAAGTATTTATTTATAAAATTTATGAGAGAATGTGTTACTTATTATTTCCTATAGTCGGTTATAACACATCAGATTATTTGTTATTGTTTACACCGGCGTAAATAGATTCTCTACAGCGTGGTAAAATCGATTTAAAATAAATTCGTTATTTGATTAGAACACTGCTTAAACCTGTTATCGTAATAGTATCATGTAATATTAAAACAAGTAATGTTTTTAAGGCTACTAAGATAAGCAGTTACTTAATGTATAATTATTATGGCGAGAAATCTTATTAGTTTCTTAACCGAAAGGAATTGTAACTCTCGATAAAATAATATCGTGATAACTATTACCTATTATCCTCATATTAAATATGATACTTACTGGATATAACTATATTGTGTAACACATTTAAACATTTTAGTGTTAAACAGTTATTTTGAAAATTTATATATACCTTAAACATGAATTATTATAATTCATGTTTTACCACTTTGATTAAAATATTATTATTTACTGATATCTGTAATAAACCAATCAATCCAGTCACAATGATGCCATAAAAAGGAATGTTTATAAATCAACCTATGTAAAATATTATATAAAAATATTTCTTATTTGTATTTTTGCTCTTGTATTACCAAGAGAATTAATGTATAAAACAAAATATATATTATTTTATATATAAACTTGGTTTAACTTTTGGAGGTTGTAGCCAAAATTCAATGTGTATATATAATGAAATACAATCATAAATCTTGTTACATATTAATTATAATTTGTTAATTTATAAAAAACTAATAATTAATATGAGGTAAACTTCCTATGGAGGATTGCTGCATGGTTTAATTTAATCAAATCAATATTTTAAGATAAAATGCTTCTATATTAAAAAAGTATTCATCATATTGGCATTTGTATATCAGAAAAGCTGTAGTTGACTAATAAATTCTTTAAAAAGCAATGATTGTGATTGTCATAAATCATCTTAAGTCAGTAGTAAAAACCTGGTTGTCAGCACTCATCAACTTTGTCTCAAGTGGTTGTTGTTGTAAATATTAGCACTGTGTTTATATTTGTAACTTGTTTAGATCTTACTAATAACTTTCATTTGTTGCTTTCTGTATTAAACCAATTGAGGTTGCATCATTCATCTCTTGTTTGAAAACTCATAATGGGGCTTAGAGCACACAATTTCATCAAGCATAATGAATTTTAAGTTTCAAAATAAAATTAAAAATGAATTTATCAAAAACAATGCTATATATCCCATAGACTACTATGATATTCACAATAAATAATGCGACAGGATTACCTTTGAATGGTTATATTGATCAGTGATAGAAATTGATAAGAAGTGAATGATAACATGACGGGTAACCAAATAATACCTTATCGTAAATAATGTGGTCATACTGTACCTATAAGTACAACTAATACAATCTCTCTTTGGCTATAAGCAATATGTTTTGTTATTGTGAGGTTTACTTTGTCTCACTGACAATTTTTCCCCATACAAGACTGCCAGTTACTCTCGTGGTTTATATGAGGATGAAAATTGAAATATTTTTGTTTCTTGCCATAGCAGGTATGTACACCTCAAATGGTACTTGTCATCAAGGACTTAGGGGATTTAGGGGAGATTACCCTTTGTGTCTGATGTTGGTACACCTTATGTCAGCATGTTACCTCAAAGAAATACATAGGTTAACAACCTTTTCTTTATTTCTATTAAAAAAACTCTATTTGCTATTTGCATAGTAATGTAATTTAAAAAAAACCTATTTGTTACCAACGTGAACTTCGATTGCATAAAACGTCTAGTATGTTTGAAAACTCTTGCCCGACTTTTAAATAGACTCCGATGTCAAGGCGTAGAATCAAAAGAAACTTTACGTTTCCTCTCCTAACAATGTATCATTTTGTTTGTTTTACTTTACAAACTTTGCTCAGCTTTATTGCATTTAACCAAGTTTTCTTTACAAAAGCATACAATGCTGGCGACAGGTGCATAAACGTGTTCGCCCAGCCATGACGATATTCCGGATGTAAGGGGGCGATTGTTCCAGCTACTCATTGCAACCATTGAATAATTTATTTCAAAATACAGTACCTTATAAACAACCTTTCACCTTTTTATTTATGGTAATCAAAAACTGATATGTCTTTAGAGGAAATTAAGAAAACTGCGGGTTTGAATCGTCATTGTTGACCTTAGAAGCGAATAATATAATTTGGCTTTTAGATCAAAAAACTATGTCATCAGAAATAATGGCACACGACCCAGGCGCCGTGGAGTTTTTCATTCAGTTGAATCGTTCATTTAAATAAAGTAGCGTGACACGATGCAGGTATAGCAAACTGGTTTTTGTTAGGGTGTGGTGTGTGAGAGTGCCGGAAAAAGTAAACAGAGATGTTTATGTCTACAATCTAACGTATCTTGCATAACGGCAGTAGATACTAATTTTATAATCTTAAAAAAACAGATCTCTCGTGGTGTAAGATGTTTATTAACAACTTTTATTGTTAATGAACATCTTACATCACAAATAGATTTCTTCTAACAATCTTACTCCAAAAACTAGTAGTGAAAACTGTTTTTTTTATTTAAAAAATGTTAATCTTTTACGTCACATTACGAAGGTATTATTGTGAATCCACAAGACTTTCTCTTTTAGTTGCATACATATTCAATTCCGTTAACCACCACGAGCTGTAGAACGGAAGTCCGGATTTATTCAACAATATGAGAGTCTGGTTTCAGAAAACCTTTTAATTATGTAGGGCCGTGTAAAAAGTCGTTAGATGTTCCTCATGTTTTTTAATAAGGCTGCAAAGCGAAATAAACTGAAATTTCCATTTCGCCGCTTCATTGGACAATTTTCTTTTTATCCCTTTAGTAAAATGAAGGGCGTCTATTTTCAATTAATCAATTCTGACGCATGAACATACTTTTGGCGAGGCTAATACAATACCTGCGCAATCAATTTTTATTCAAGTCAGGTCGGTGTGACACTGTGAATACTGATGATGATTACCCTACCGATAAATAATAGAAGTATAAGGCGAGAACAATAGAAAACGATTCCATCCTTTCGTTTTGGTCGGATAGTTAACTCATTGAAATGAAAAAGTATGCAGGCTGTTTTAACTTCCTTTGAGACAGCTCTCCAGGTCCTTTTAAACATGCAGGGTTGCGTTATGAAGTCACTTATCTTCAAAATGCTATACAAGACGCCGCGTGTAATTATTTGCAAGTATGTAAGATAACAACGCTATGTTAGTGTTATGTCGTTAAAATTCTTCGTTAAAAAGATCGCGTGAAAGTTTCTAGCACCATTAGAAAACAGTGTTTCACGATTTCTTGCAAAATAGCATGATTCGAAAATTTTGCTTTTCAATAATAAGTTATGGCGCATTAAAACGCCAAGGCAACTCCACTTAGCAAAAGTAATCAGGAATTCTATACAGCTATGTTCAGTCCGTTACAAGACTTACATGTGAGTAGGAATTGCTTTGATACAGTATAGGAAATTGGATTAGTTCCTGGAGATGAAATTGTATCGTGTTCGTTTGTCGCCCAGGTTAATTTGTTTCTTTGCTAGATAATGATAGAAGTA